TGACATTTTAGGCTAGCCCCTGGTCCTCCCAGCCTGACAGCCACCACACCCATCCCAACATCAGGCTGGAGAGACTGTAGATAAAGGCAGGGAGGCTGTTGGAATATTTTTTTTTACCAGTGAGGATGTGGAATAAGAGAGTAGAATCGGGGACAAGGAAACATTGGCAAGTGAGAGATGCAGGCAAGGTCAAATCCACATGAGTTGTCAGCTGATTGCTCCTAAGGCACGAGACAGGGTCATGAGAAAGGGCTGAGGATCTGAAAATCCTCCAGGCAGTGGTGCCCCATCTCTTCCACACCCCTGCAGAGCTCCTTCCATTCCCTCTGGATATGAAACTGATCCTCAGACTAGACTGTGAGCTGCAGGGAGACAGGAAACGAGTCTGGCGCATCTCCTATGCCCGCAGCACCTAGGAGGAGCATGTATACCCAGCAGTTATCAGTGCATGTCTTAATGTCACCCTCTGCCCCAGGAGCAGCCCCATGTGGCTCCTTTAGGAAAAGAAGACCAGGTGGGAAACCACCTTCCCTTGGGCTCTGTGTATCCCGATGCTGTGTATAAAGGGACTTGTGACCCACTCTGGACTGAAGATGAATCTTTAAAATGACTGGCTCCTCTCGGAATGCACTGCAAAATTCCCAAGCAATGGACACCCTAGTCCATTTCCCTCTGTTCCCCAGAACCCAGACCTTTTTAAAAATGTATTTAAATATTTTCTGCTGGGGTATTTTATCTATATTTTGGTGTATTCTGGCTATTTCTGAGAAAACAGATTTTTCTTTTCTTTATGAATCCTATTCAATATTGCCACCTTTCTCTTTCAAGGGCTTGCTGAGACTCTTTTTTTCCTTTCTTTCTGTGCCTAAAGGCCAGTGGGGTTCTGAAAAGGGACAGCAGTGGCTGAATCCAAGCCATTGTCTTCTAACCATTCGGCAGTTGGCGTTTATCACCTTGATGGATGAGCAAGTTATATGCCTGTGGAGCCCCATTCTTGAGTGGCAACAGAGAGCACTCTAGTTTGTCTTCTCTGTCCTCATGTTTGGACCAATTTCTCCTGAGTATTTACTTAACCACTTAACCATTCTATTTGATTCTACCTAAGAGATTTAACACATATTTATTAAGCTGCTCTACACAAGGGAGTCTGACAATTTCCTGTCCTTTCACAGCTCACCTTGCAGGATAACCAGGTCTTGCTGTTTCACTACCTAGAAGACCGCGGTTCAACTGTAAACATAAGGCTTTCCACTGTCTCAACTTCTTTCAAGTCTTTTTAAAAAATGTTTAGTGAGCTGGTACATTATTCATGATAAGAATGCTCCTTCATATCATAATAGTTATTTGTGTCAACCTCTCTGGGTCACATTACCCAGAAATTGGCCAAACATTATTGTGAGATGTCTCTGAAAGGGTTTTTGGAGATTATCATGTAAATCAGTGAACTTTGAATAAAGCAGATTGCCTTCCATAATGGGAGTGGGCCACATCCAATCAGTTGAAGTCTTGAGTAGAACAAAAGACTGGCCTCCCCTAGTAAAAGGGAATGCTCAGCTGACAGCCTTCCAGTTGGAACCACTGCCATGTCTCTTGCTTGGGTCTTTAGCCTAACAGACCACCCTGCTGATTTGGGGCTTGCCTGCCTCCCATAACCCCATGACCCAAGTCCTTAAAATAAATCTCTTTGTAAGCTGGGCATGGTAGCAGCACTCTGTAATTCCAGCAATTTGGGAGACGGAGGCGGGAAGACCACAAGTTTGAGGCCAGCCTTAATAACTTAGCAAGACCCTATCTCATAATAAAAAATAAAAGGGACTGGGAATATGGCTCAGTGGGAAAATGCCTCTGGGTTCAACCAATCCCAGGGCAGGCATTGGGGGTCCCACTTTCTCTACATATCTTGTTGGTTCTATGTCTCTGGAAATCCTGACAACTACATCCCCCAACCAATATGCAGAGGTTTTCTTGTTGTTGTTGTTGTTTAGGGGGTATTAGGGGAAATACCCTCTTGCAGGGGATAACTTGAGTAGAGCAGGGAGTTTCTGCAGGTCCTAAGTAAAAATTTCTCAGGGGCAGGGGATGGAGGGATGGCCAAGAGGTTGGATCTTTGACTGAAGGGCTGGGGTACAACACACAGGAAAGCAACCCTGTAAGAAGTGAGGGAGGGACACAGACCTCTTAAGATGGTGTCCTAAAAACAATCTATGGACCTCTGAAAAGGCACCGAGAATCAATGCAATTTGATCAGTTTAAAATGTTGAAATTTTATTTTCAGGATCCATTGTATGCTTTGGATGCTTTTTTCTGTGCAGTGTTTTCATCCAAGCCCTGAGGGGACTGGAAGATTGCTCATCATATTGGTGTTGACTTGACACTGGGATACACAGTATACACCCTGCTCTCCCACGGTTGATACCAGTCCTTATGGCTCGTGGAAGGAAGGCCGTTAAGCTTGCCTTCACTCACAGAGCTACCCAGGGTTGCCCCAGGTGATACAATGAATGGGCTTCTGCAAATACGTGTGATGTGTACCTTTGTGAATCCTTTATGTTTTGGAAACACATTAGAGGAACTGATTATTTCAAGGAAACTTTCCAAGTGTCTCATTTCTTAATGTCACAAGCCATTTTGATTGAAGTTCATAACCTCTCTCTAATGTATTAGCTTATGAAATTCCATTTTTTTTGCCTAAGAGTTTTAATTAAAGCAAGACAAAACTATACTTAATAACATTCATTTGCCTGAAAGAGTTATTGCAGGAATACTTATGGTATTACCAGAAGGCAGCTTAATGTCTCAAATCAAACTGATAGGCAATTTAATGAGGGATATCACTATGACCCATATTTTCCCACATTTTTTGAAAGAAAACATTCACACAGTGAAGGGAATCAGAATCTATTTTTATATCCCTAGAGTTATAAACATTTGTATCAAAATATTTACAATTATAGCATATGAAATAATCTATGAATGAAGAAGCCAAATACAGTACTAGAACAACCCACCAATGTAATGCAAATTACATGAGACATAAATGTCACAGAAAAAAAGTAAAAGACAAGGGAATACATGGTTTGCTCCAGTCATAGTTCAACTTTTTAACAAAATGAAAGATGTCTTTGGGGTAGATCTGATATGTAGGTATGATTCTGCACTTAAGACAGCCCTCTACAATTATGTGATAATCAAATCATAATTGAAAAGTTCATTATTCCACAGATTTTTTTTTTCTGGCCAATGTCTCTACTCTCAGTCCAGGTATAACATGGTGGTCTGCCTTCCACATTCCCTTAACTAGAATAAACATAGAGAAATATACTTAGTAATAGTCCCTTTACATAAATACCAGCAATTATGGCATAACAAATCCCTAAAAAAGGAAAGTTATATAAGAAATGGATGAGGAGAAAGCTAGAAGAAAGAAAGGGGGCAAGATGTCTCAGACTCTTCCTGGGGTAGATCTTCCTCTAAGGGCAATAAAGGAAAAGTCTTCCAAAAGAAAAAGAACTCCTCTAGGTAGAATCTGAGATGGCTTAAAGTAGCTGCTCTAGGGCAGAGCACTGCCTGCTGAACCAGGAATAACATACTACTTCTAAATCCTATATAGAAACGCTCCTGTGGCTGCAGATAGCTTGGTTACCATCTGACTGGGTACCCCAAGAGTTTTTGTTCTTTAAGAAAGTATCTTCCCATCACCTGTATTTTTATTTATCTCATGGGATTTTTATTTTCCTGGGAGCAGGCACTCTGTTCTTATTATGACTAAAATATAGTATGATTAATACTTTGCAATTATATAGCACCTTTCACCCAAGGACCTGTTGTTTGGTTTTGGTGTGTGTGTGTGTGTGTTTGTGTGTGTGTGTGTATGTGTGTGTGTGAATTTGCTCCCAGAATTGCTATGCCTCACCTGGGAAGTGGGATGGGCAGGGCCTCTGAGAGGTGACCATTCCAGCCAAAGCTAGAGTGACCCCTGACCTTGAAGCCCTGACCCCCCAGTATGGATAATTAGACAAAACTTCCTCCAGAGTTCATAATTTAGAAAAAGAATAACAGGAGTGTATTACATGAAATCATGTCCATTTCTCTCCTGTTAGGACTGCATTGAGGGGAATCCTAAAAACATAACCCTGGCATAGCACTGTGGCAAGAGTGTCCCTTGATCCCACAATCCGCATGGGGCTTTCACTACTGAATTGGTCATTGATTGCTCTAGAGAAACTCCAGAAGAGCTGCCTTCGCTTTAAATGAGAGCCTAGCAGAGTCTGTGGGAAGAGGTCTCCATGAGGGACAGAATGTAAGAGGTCTGGCCTGGGCTCTGCCCATCCCCCAGGCCTTCCATGGTGAAAAGCTTTTTTTCTTCCCCGCCCCGCCCCTGATTTAGCCAACCCACCAACTTGGCCCTATAAACTATCTCTCTTCTCTGCTATTGTCACAAATGCCACCCAATTCTATGGAGCTAAGCATCTCCACAAAAGAGGGACGATGGTTCGCGGGCCAAAGCCTTCCTGTAGGCACTTCATATGGTAAAGTGATAATTTGCTTTGGGTCAGAGGGCAGGGTGGTTTCCAGACTTAGACAGTCAGCACAGAGAGAGTATCTGCTCCAGCCAGAACTTGTACCGCTTTGGTGCAGTAGGTCTGCAAGATCTCCAGTGTGTGACCCAGATTCACCCTCAGAAGTGGAGCCAATAGAATGGCAGCTGATGGGATCTCAGGAGGTGTGTGTAACTGAGGCCAAGCTGGAGGCCAAGTCTGGTGGCTGGAGGGAGGCCCTCTGGCCCCTATCAGGGAGCATCAAAGTACAAGTCATTGACTTTCTCCCAAGGGCAGGGGCTAGACCATAGAGAATCTTCCCAGTAATGGTTTGAGCTTAGACCTCTCCCACCCTTCCTTCCCCTTCCCCATTCCCTCCCCTCTCTTGGTTTTTCCGGCCCAATGACTTCCACTTCCCTCCCAGATTCAACTGCTTCCTCCTCCCACCCCCCCAGGTCCCCATACACTTGTTCAGCTTTATTTCTTTCTCAGGACAAGATAGAGAATGCCAATGATGAAGCTGAAGCAGAAGCAGATCCAGGTCAGGATGAAGCAGTAGCCATGGTGGCTGTTCGAGAAAAAGTTCCTATTGCTATTGGCATAATGATGAGTGTAGATGGACACTCCGACCATAATGCACAGCCCTGCCGGAAGACAAAGTGTTGTTATTATTCTTGTTTTAACCAAGAAAAATGAGTTTTATAATTAATA